TTTCCAATATTATCTCATCCAATCCTCATAATTGTTTGATAATGCATTTAAACTGAGATTGAAAATGATACTTCCCCTGTTAAGAGGTATAAGATACCAGGTACAATTCAAATCTATGATGAATTTATAACAATCTAGTATCAAATTTTCTTTATATTCTTACATAGAAATGATGTGAAGGTTTTGGATAAAGGTGTAAACTAATTCTGAAAATCAAAAATGACTTCAGTAGTTTTGAAAAAATTAAAGTATCTTGGATTCTGATTTCTCAGTCTCAGATTATTGCTTTTGTAGGTTCCAGCAACAACAGTTTGTGTCTTAGATTATTTTGTACACTCAGCAAACTAAGACTTCTTCTTTTGTACATTGTATGAAACCAATTTTTGGCTAAGTTCAAATTTTATTTTATTTTTATTTTTAAATTTTATTTATCAATTTTATATGCCACTCATTTTGTAGTTCAAGGCAACTCAGAGCAGCATACAGCATAATAGCAATAGCAGTTGGATTTATATACCGCGTCATAGGGCTTTCAGCCCTCTCTAAGTGGTTTACAGAGTCAGCATATCACCCACACAGTCTGGGTCCTCATTTCACCCACCTTGGAAGGATGGAAGGCTGAGTCAACCTTGAGCCGGTAAGATTAGAACCGCTGAACTGCAGATAACAGTCAGCTGAAGTGGCCTGCAGTACTGCACCCTAACCACTGTGCCACCTCGGCTCTAATAAAGCAGTGTTTTTCAACCACTGTGCCGCGGCACACTAGTGTGCCGTGACATAGTGTAAGGTGTGCCGTGGGAAAATTACTTTATATATAGTCAATATAGGCACAGAGTTAAAATTTTTTACCATTTTCTAATGGTGGTGTGCCTCGTGATTTTTTTCATGAAAAAAGTGTGCCTTTGCACAAAAAAGGTTGAAAAACACTGTAATAAAGCATATGGATCAGTGGTCATTTTTTTTACTACTGGCTTAGTGAGTATGGTGTGGCTTGGTGGGCGTGGCTTGGTAGGCATGGCAGGGGAAGGATACTGTAAAATTTCCATTCCCTCCCCACTCCAGTGGAAGGTTACTGCAAAATCCCCATTTTGTTCTTATCAGCTGGGAGGCAGAGAATAGATGACGGTGGGGCCAGTCCGAAGTGGTATTTACCGATTCTCCAAACTAAAAATTTCCGCTACCAGTTCTCCAGAAAAGGTCAGAACCTGCTGAATGCCACCTCTGCTGTAATTATAATTATAAACTTAAAAACAGATTAAAATTACAAAAAATTAAAAGAAACTTTAAAACCACATGACATGCTATGGGAATGGGAATGTGAAAAATGGGAATGTGGAAAGAGCAAAGTGAATGCCATGCTTACTTTCTCTCTAAACAAAATTCCTTTTATAAAATCTCAAAGTTTTAAAACTCACTTGAGGCTTCTTTTTGTTTGAAAATGACTCCAGAAACACAATGGTTACTCTGGTTTGTAAATTCTAGCCATCAGAGAAAGGTTGGCATAATTAGAGACAGATTTTAAGAGGTCTAAAATTTATTAGTAACAAAATAATGCAATGAAAATATGTTGTTTGTTGAGTTATAAACTCTGTATAATCTGGTGAGGTAAGTGAGAAAAAAGAAAAATTGCTTAGAAGTGTTAATGATCCTTACTTAAAATTCAAATCAGATTTCTGTCCCTAATAGTACTAAGCAGAATTAGTTTCCCATGATTAATACTCCATCTTCTTTGTTTATTTCCCAAAGTTCAGCTATTTCCTTCTCATTGACTCTGCTTACATTCACAAACTGACTGAAGGGTGGATTCTTATGCAATTGACCCAAAAAGTTGACTTCAGCAAAGGACTATTACTACAGTTTAGATTTTTTCCTTGCCACATAACCATTATAGTAGGTACTGATGAATCAATATGAAATGCTTGCATATACCTCTGTTCGTCTTTTGGGTATTGTTTAAATCAGTATAGTAGAAATTATTTTGCACTATCCTCTCTTACCTACCTCCTCACTGTAGTAAAGATAGTCCTCAACTTACAATCACAGTTGGGATCAGAATTCCTGTTTCTAAGCAAGATGGTCGTTAAGTGTTTCACGCCTGATTTTACAATGTTTTTGCCATGGTGGTTAATCGCACAGTTGTTAAATAAATCATATAGTCGTTAAGCAAATCCTGCTTCCCACATTGATTTCGCTTGTTGGAAGCTGGGTAGAAAGGTTGCAGATGACATTCACATGACCCAGGATGTTGCAACCATTGTAAATATGTCAGTTGTCGAGCACTTGAATTTTGATCATGTGATTCTGGGAATGCAGCAACAGTACAAAGACCAGTTGCAAGTAACTTTTTTTAGTGCCATTGTAACATCAAACTGCCTCTAAACAAATGCTTGTAAGCATTTTAGAACGTCACTTGTCCTCAATGTATACCTTTTCTCACTATGCCTCCCAATACAGATGTGATTCTCAAATGTTTTGTAGACCTCTGATGGTCTCTGTAGATCGACAAAGTGGTGTACTCAACCTTCCGGCAGTCAGTTGGCCAGTTCACAACCCTCTGCACCACTTCCTCCGCTCTAATAAAAAACAGATATTCTTTTTTCCCCCTAAAAAGATAAATAATGAACATCTTTCCTCTTCAATAGCTAACAAATGCTGGTTCAGATTTACAGCTCCCCATGATGTCTTACCTAGAAATAAAATGTTACATTGATCAAAAGCTTCTTTCTGACATTATCAATTGTGGACCAGGCTTAAGATACATTTCTTTACTATTTATATTAAGACATTTAAAAACTGTCCTGCAGGTTGAGGCATCAGCCACTTGGTTCATAATAGTTTCCAGCCAAGACAAATGGACAGGGTTGGAAAATTAGAGGGAATTTTGAAAATGACCAAAAATACTACTATTTTATTGTTGATAAAAGGAAAGCAGTCATTCATTATTGATTCTATATCAACTTCTGGGCAATTTTTAAAAATAATGTCAGTAAATGAAATATAGTCTTTTCTGACTTTACAATCTGAAATTCAACTTTCTATAATCTTGCAATATATTGTCTGCCAGGTGGGATTGTCTGAGATTGCTGCAGAAGGGAATTCCAAAAGCTTTTCCAGAAATATTTCAACAAAAGGTGGAAGGCGGCAACAAAAACAGCTAACATCCCCCACCTCAACCTTTACTGATGATAAGGCAAGGCATTTAGTCTAACGGTGCAAAGGAACTCCCTTGAATGAGAAACAGACAGGGCCTCTTGACCACTGTAGCAACCATGGACTTGATCCAAATTATTTATGGTGCAACTCACATAAGATTGGATAATGGTGTCACCCATGTTCTTCCTGGTTGTTAAAAACCTCCTGGAAGTGCCTTGAGTGATTGGGTCCAAGTAACCCGTCTGTGGAAGGGATGGTACTTGCATTGAAGAAGGCAGTGGGGCACTCCCTTTTCAAGAAGGGATAGGGAGAATTGGCATGGGATGAACCAGAAGTTTTTGGAAGTTTCATTGAAAACTTTACCTGTGATGCTTTTTCCTAATTATACTGCATTTATTCACCATTCATATTTTCTAACAAAGCTTAAGACACATTTGGAATCCAGGGACATAATTGGTAATAAACCAATATTGTCACACCTCACTATGCAGTATGGTAGCATTTATTTCCGGACTTAATCCTGATTTTCCAATTTTGTGCTAAATGGCACGTGCACAAACATCTGCAACTTATGCCCTGCTTGCAGAAGCATGGCTGAGGTTTGGATTGTGGAAGCATTAGCCTTAAGAAAGTGAAATCCAGATCCCCTGCTGACGCAGGCAGTGCTGATGGAGAATTAAAATTCCTCAAGCTCTTAAGAAAGCCCTGGAAAAGGAACTGTGAAAAGATGGCTTGTCACTAGTTAGGTGATTAAGCTACTAATGTAGCTAAGTGGATTTTAATAGATGAAAAAAATACAGCATCAGCAAGATCCTAGAAGCAAGGACAAAAATGAACTAGAAGGAACATTTTCCCAGGTACCTTTTTTTTCATTTCCCCATTTTGCTTTCTCCATCTCTCAAGATTTTCCTACTTTTTAATTGACCACTATAATTGGGAATATTTTTCATCAATACGTCTTCTTTTATTCCACTTATCCTTTCTTCTTGCCTAAATTCTGATTGCTTCTTATATAAGAGCTCTGAAGAAATAATTCCTTCTGTAGTACCCTGTGCTCCATCTCTTAGTCAGAAGAATGAAGGGGATAAAGAAAATTCATAAAGATAAACTGCCATAAGAGAAATAAGTGCTTTGACATAGGCGTTTGTTCCACTTCCAGCTTGAAAACAATATTACTAGTCATATTTAGTAAACAAACAGGCACTGTACTGCTGCAGAAGCTGCAAATGAATCCCAACTGACCATAGCTCTAAAAAGAAAACTACAAAGAACGACTGGGGACAATATATTATGGCAGTATATTATGACTCTAAAGCAAGAAATTACCACACGCATATGTAGTTATCTTGGATACTTTTTCCTACAGATAACTATGTTATGAGAGTGAAATCTTGATTTGCCACAAGATTCACCTGCATTCATTAAGCACAACATAATTGCACACAATCTTCTGAAAATTTCACCTTCTGGCACCATTTCTATATTTTTCAGTCCTAAAATTACCTGGAAGCATGTTACCATTATCAATAATTCACCATTAATATTACTATGCTAGGAAATGTCTCAATTTTTAAGTCTGTGGGGAATATTTACTAAATCTAAATTTGTTATGTCAATTTGCATCATTTCCATAACTATATAAATAACATGAAGTTATTTGCAAAATGTTAATTTAAAAGACCACTTGCTATCTGATAAGTCTATTTTAATGTATATCAGTTATGTAAATATATAACCGATATGAATAATATCATTTGTAGTGAAACCCAAACTTTGATTTTCATTAGGCCATTAAATAGTCCAAACACAAAATGCGTTCATTGCATCTGAAGTCTGCAAAACCAAGCTCTATTAAAGCAATAGTTTTATTTATATTTCAAATATGAAACTGTATTTCAAATTAAATAACCAATGTCCCACATCTCCTAAGTAAGCGTACATAAAAAAAACCATTACACCATTTTCACTAATCCAATATATTGTCTTGACACATAGAACAAAGGTATTTGCTGCCACCATGCATATTTGTATTTAATACAGACATAATCTATTTTTTGCCTAAGAGCAAATATAAATATATTATTCCATCTTTTAGATCTTGCTAATCACTTTGTGGCATTTGAAAGTATTTTGACATTCACTGAAAACATAAATTTTGCCACAGGATTTTTCAACTAAAATGCTTTGTTCTTGGTAGACAATTTACATTGGTATTTTTTATTTTTGTATTCCTTAAAAAAAAATAGAATCCTTCATAAAAATAAATCCCTCAATGCTAAAAATCTGAACAATTAATAAATCTTCTGAAGAGGTTTGCACTTTGCAGTTTGTTTATTAAGCTAAAGTTCATGAATCTATTAACACAGGTGATGGCTTCTATATCATTATATACATAGAGAAATCATCTTCACTAATGCACAAGCTTCAGGCAATGTTGTATTAGCAACAATAGACTAAAGCAAGCCTCAGAAGTCTTGCTGGATGTTTTCTTTATTTGCCTCTCCATGTTGCTGCTTAATTTGAGAAATTTCATTTTCCAACTGCACAATAGTTCGTTCAATCTCATAATTTTTACTGACAAGGGACACCCATCTAGAAAAATAGAAAGAAAAAAACATCGTTTTTCCCGTTTTATTGCTAAAAGAAAGAATATTCATTTTGGGGTGTGCAATACTATATTGTCAATAAAATAGAAAGATAGCAAAGAAGTGCAAAATAACATATTAGTTAGTAGAATGTGCTTAACACAAACAGAACTTCACCTGAGATGACAGAAATAACATGGCTGCTGACGGGAGGAAAATATAGATAATAAGGGACAATGTGAAAAGGCAACAGCCTTAACACTGCACAGAATTGTTAATACATAGAAACAGGGATTTACGATCTGGTTCTTACAATAACTTATGTTTGCTTAACTACGTTGACTAATTGTTGACCTAGTCCTAATTGCCAAGATTTACAAGTGATGCTAAACCATAAGCCATGTTTAACAAATTATAATGGCTGGATAATCAATGGAACCAAATAAACTGCGCAATTTCACGGCATGCCACACATCAAGTTATTTTGTTACATTTAAGCTCCAATAATCTGCTCCATATTGAATTTCAAAAAAAAAATTATTTATTCCTCCTCCCCCCCATATGAGGAAATGAATATTGAGAGAAAAAATCTTGCAATTGCTGACTTCTATTTCTACATATGGAAATATTTTATAAAACCCAGTTACATTTTAAAAGATTAATTCAGTGGTTCTGAAGAAATTAAAAGTAGGTGAAATAATAGTGAGAAAAACTACTCACGTGGATTCCATTTCACGAAGTTTAGCACCAGCTGTGAGTTGCATGTTCTTCCGCTGCCAATTAAGGTCTTGGATGTGTTTTCTGGAAGAAACAAAAAGGCATAATGAATTATACAGTAATTTATTCTGCAGCCCAATACCTTGAGATAATAATCCTTAGAGTTATAAACACTTATAACACAGGTCTTTAAAATGACATCATAAAAATGAAACAGCTCACTGGATACACTTGGAGCATCTCACAATGCTCACAGTGAGAAAAGCAGGATAGTTTTAGATTCTAGATGTATTAACCAGAACGGCATGTCAATCATTCTTGACTATCATTGTGTAGATATGCCTCTGAATTGCAACATAATGAAGAACCCAATGCAGAAAACCTAAGATTTATTTTAATTTTATATAAATTATTTTAAATATTTATAAATTCTATTTATTATTTATATCCTAATAAATGAAAGTATTTCCCATCAACTTTCAATACATTGCAAACAAACTGCTTTTTTACCATCACAGCAGTCATATTTTTGGACTGAATGAGTGCTGTTAGTAGGTGACATTTAGTATATTGTAATGGTTGGAGGTTTGCTGGTTTTGGTTGAATTGTGGTGGAGCCTTTTGAGATCGTCACCAAAGCAGAGAGAACAGGATTGGTTTGCTGTCTGACCTGTAAGACTTATATCTTACGCGGCCTGAAACAGAGTTGTTTGGAGGGACAGAGCGCCATTTGCTTTGTTTGGAGTTGGAAAGCTAGTCATAGGGGATTGGAGCCAGCAGCAATGGTGGCTGAATCGAAGTCAGTGTTGCTGGCAACTGGATTGCCCACTGCCAAGTCTACAGATTGATTGCTTTGTGAGGTACTTGGCAGAGGCTGTTCACACCTGTGGCACATGTGCCATAGGTTTGCCATCACGGATCTAGGGTCTAACTCTAGCCATTTCTGAGGGCATGCAAGGCATTGCCGTCAGCTCCAGCATGCATTGGCCAGCTGATTTTCGGCCTTGATTTTCTGCCATTTTTCTTGGAACGGACTTCCGGTTTGCGCGTTGGGCTGTTTTTCGCCCTCCGGAGGCTTTAGGGAAGCGTCCTAAAGTCTCCAGAGGGCGAAAAACAACCCAATAGGCAACCCGGAAGACTGTTCCCAAACTTCCAGTTTGCGTGTTAGGCCGTTTTTCGCCCTCTGGAGGCTTTAGGGAAGCGTCCTAAAGTCTCCAGAGGGCGAAAAACAACCCAATAGGCAACCCGGAAGACTGTTCCCAAACTTCCAGTTTGCGTGTTAGGCCGTTTTTCGCCCTCTCCAGACTCCTAGAAAGCCATGCTCGCATGTGCGGGGCAGCGGGGTGTGTATGTGTGTGTGTGTCACACGCGCATAGGCAGGGGGCAAAGCAC